CCTCGACATAGTATTTTAGTCAATTTTCCAGTCTATATCTGCACAATTTCTTTGAAATACAACAGGCAATTTCTTAGTAGCTTTAGGATTTTGAAATGTAATTATCAGGAAAAATTTGAAAGTTTTATACAATCAAAATTCTAACGCAATTAATCTTCGCATCCCGTCGAACGTAAACCGCGAAATAATAAACAGAAGCTCGAATAAGCTAAAAAGAGGGTCGAGAATCAATTCAACGGAGGGCCAATTAAAATTTTAATCGGTCAATCAACGTGTATATTCACAACGCATTTCCATATTTATTATATAATTAGGGACGTACCGTGGGCACGTGTCTTAATTAAAATCGACGTTCGAAGGGAATTTTGTGGCGAAGGGGTACACGAGATTCATAATTTCTCGGGTCTCGAGCGGTGAATAATACGCCGCGGCTAACGAGCATAACCGCCTTGTGCCGATTCGCGATGTTGCAAACGGATTTTCGAAACGATTTCCCGATCGCGATTCGTGACACGGCGTCCACCGGATATAGCGCCTCGCAACACCGTTCCGCGGCCGGTCTTCGTTGATATCGAAGAGTGATTCGCGTTGGGAGACCTCGTGGAAACTTGAATTAATCAATGGTGATCGTTCAAATCCCCGAAATCTCGTTAAGTGAAATTTAACCGAAATTTATTTCAGTGATTTGCGAGTTTCCGACTGAAGCATCCTTATAATTTGAGTAATTGTAAAATAAGAAATTTTAAATTTGAGGCTCTAGTGTTGACTACAAACAATCGGTAATTTTACGAATTTACCCTATAAGAAACTATAACAATAAATACGATAAATAGAATCGCTGAATTCTTTTCTTTTTTTGGTAATCTTTACGTTTTCTTTTTCATATTCCCCTATGCTCAATCTAAAGCAAGGATTGTCTCTTGTATTAATAAACAAAATGTAGAATTTTAGATAAACTTTGGCAACCATTTTCTACTTCCATCTAGAAACATTCCCTGCATGAAATCGTGCAACCTCCATCCGACATGATTTCCTCCGGAGGAAGTAATATCGACGCAAATCAAACGGGTAATTACGAGTTCTTCCCATAGAATCGTTAGTAAAAACATCCAAGGTCTATCACAGTTGATCCCATTAACAATATCATTACAAAACATTCCACAATAAAAACTATAACCGAGATACAAATTTCTTATCGTAGCATCACAAGCCTCACATAAAACTCGCGTTTCAACATTCCAGTTGAATTACTAAATATTGTTCCGTGACATATCTCAATTCTGCATCTCGTCAAAACTGCTCCAAACGATAAAACATCCACACCTCCCGGTACGTTTCTCCCCGGCGCAACGAGTAAAAAACACTCCATCGATAACGAATACTTCGCACCCGCCAAAGGCTCATTAATTGCTCTCCATTAAAGTCACCAGCAAGAAAGATACTAAATTCTTCACGCTTTGCGTTTTCCACTCCACCAAGCCAAGTCTCCGTGCATTAACCTCTCACAAAAGAAAACAAAAATATACCAACGACTGTCTCTAAAGTTTCGCAAAAAACGGAACGGTCAGTCGAAAACCCACTACGAAATTCGTTTGGGAACGCAGCCTGTGAATTTCTCTGTCTAGGAGAAAAACGCAAGCCACACTTTCACGATCGATCGCCAGCGGAATTCCGCGAGAATCGGCTTGTCATGCGATCGGTGTGCTCGCCAAGGGGAATGTCTGCTCGTTTTTCGGCACGATGGAATTTCCTTCTGGGCGGCGATGGTGGCATGGGTGCTGCCGTGACTTCACGGACGTCCCATTAAAAAAGACACCGTGTGTGTGTGTGTGTTCGCCTCCTTTTTCATTCCGACCACGGACACGTCGCCTCCTCCGTGGTCGTCCGCGTAATTGGGTTACGAGAACGCCTTGTCCCACGGATCCGCCCGGTTCACATTCACGATTTCATCGACACACCGTCGTTTTCCGGTACGTGACAATGCTTTGTACTTCGAGAAGGCGGACCCCTGTAATCGCGGCGATTCAACGACTGCATCGAAACTGTTTGTGTGTCGTTCGTCCAGGTAGTTAATTAACCGCTTCTTGTTCTCTTTCACTCGAAGAATTCACGGAGAAATTCTCGTTGTCCGCGGAAAGCGAGAGCAGTGAATGGATCGAGGAATCGTGCGGTCGGAACGGTTCTCCGAGGGGAGGCGCAAAAAGTGGACGTTGGACGATCGAGAGGTGCATAGATGATTACCGTGTCGAGCAGAAAGAATTGGCGGTGTCCTGTTGGCGGGGGCAGCGAAAATCCTTGCGGTCGAAATCGCGGTTGACACGGCGAGACGGAAACATTCGCGTTAACTGGCAATTCTCTCGATGAAATACGAGGCTTTAATGCCTCTGTTGCCTTTGAACAGGCATTTTTGCGAACTCGAGGAATTGGAAAGTCCTGATGACGATGCGTGTGCACCGAGGGGAAATAGTTTTGTGGATGTTTGCGGTTACAATTATGAGAATATGAAACTTGAAATACAGAATACGGAAATATATAATACACAATTTTCAAGTTGCAGGTTACAGATTGCACTGGCCAGGATGCACAATGCAGAGCTGAAATTGCAGAAGGCAGTTTCTCAATTTTTCTGGTGCCTGATTTTTTACCTCTGTGGCGTACATTCTTGCCTGCGATACAGATTTACGACAACGGGCGCCAAAGTGTTATAAAGGTACAGAGAGCAATGAACCCTTTCGATATTTTCTTTGAAACAAGAAACGAAGACATTGAAGTAGGATGTCGATGAACTCTGAAAAAAAAGGAGTACTGCCATCATTCAGACAAAATCGGGCCCCTTAAGCAGATGCAATTAGGCCAAGGGGGAGTAACAAGGACCCGAACGAGAGAAGGAGAAAGATCGAATTTTCATCCACTCAACTGGTCGATCCCACCGGTACCTTTATCGTCGAATTAATTTACGATCGTTTCGATTGATACGCTCTTTAGCCGGACGTCTTCGCAATTAACTCGATGCTCCAAATATCGGGTTGCCGGGACGCGCTGCAAGGTTCGATCGCTTAATAATAAATCGACGTTACGTTCCAGTTCCGGGCCGGTCGACCCAAATAATCAGTTTTCTCGATCATCGTTGACAATTATGACAGGGTGTGTGGGTTGGATCCCCGATATGGGGGTCATTCGGCCGTCCGCGAAGAAAAAAGAACGATCGCGTATTTTGGATAATGATCCATGCGTGCCTGTGACTGCATGGAATATGGATAATTGATTTGTGCGCAGCGTGACGAATTAACGTCCTGTTCGACGTACGGACTTCAAGATGTCTTATTGCATGTTTGAAATAATAATTAGGCCAAGAACGACAATTGCTCCATAATTAAAACGGTCCTAACGCTCAGACAATTGAATCGCAAAAATTCTCACGTTTAGTCGAAGCACAAGAACGAAGCACTTAAATCCGTGTTTAAAACCTTTGAACCTCAGAAAAATTTGCACCAATGACTACGCGATTCATTGAATTTCATAAATATATGAACCGCAATCTAACTGTTTACGCAATTCTTTAAGCAAGCTCAAAGGTACTTAAAAGAAATTTTCTCTTTCAGTCCGTCCCAAACAAGAACATTGTCCTTCGTTTGAAGTACCAACAGATAAGCGTTTCACCAACAAAAAGTTACAAGAAGCATTCCTAAGTCGTACCGAAGGATCTCACCTTAATTGCAATTCAAGGTTCCTCATTCCACGATTCCTTATCGTGAAAATGGAAAACGCGGAAAACAAAGGTCGTGTTATCAGTGAACGGGACGAGTCGCTGCTGGACACAGGCTTGCACGATCGATTGATAAGACCAGACATTGGTATCCACTTAGGGTTCCGTCGACGAGAATCGCTAATCGACTCCCCCGTAGATGGATCTCTAATTGCGAAAGTTGCCAGAGAGATTCGCGTATTCGAGCTAATGGCCGTGATTCGATCGTTCGATTGCAGGGCGTAGATGAGATCCCGGACGCTTAAATAGTTGGTTCGAGTCAAAGGAGAAAAATAATCCCTGCCATTAAGGGAGGCACCACTTTCTAAACTATTTCAATTCCCGCGGCGCGACACGGTCGGTAGTACAGCGAGTTGCTTGAGGACATCGACGCCAGACGGCGCCACGCGACTAGAAAAGGAGAATTACCGATTCACTCGTAACTGCGCAGATTTATCGCGCAACTCAATTTTTTGTGAACGTTACTTGTAACTTTTTTTTATATTTAACTTTAGTAGTGAATACGGTCTATATACTATGCTTATTACATTGTATTTTAATGACGAAATTGCTTTGCAGTAAACAAAATTTAAACAAGCACTTGTACCGATGGAGCAGCTTGTCGGTAAAACAGCGACGATTTATAGATCGTTGTAAAGTTCTTCCAGCAACAGAGGGATATTCACGGTATCGTCTTAGATTCTATATACAGGTACAAACGAGGAGAAAGAGGTCTAGAAGTGTCTAATTCAGATTCAGATAACTATCGCGAGGGCCCTATTGAATAGAAATATAAAAGTCATCGTTACATATTCAATTGTCAAATCCGACTATATTAAATCGTTATCTTCGATCAGATTCGACCTACCAAACGGTGGAATGGCCGAGTTTCTATTCATTTCTGTCCCGTGCGTTTCGAGTATATGTTTTCAAATGCGAGAACCTCGCTCCATTTTTTTCTCCCGATGCGTACATTTTTTCGTTGAGAATCAATTGAAACGCTAGAGGAGGAAGTTTGCGAAACTATCGACGGTCTTCGCAGCCGATCCCCATCTCAAGAGGAAGCCTTTTATTATTTTTCGGTTATTCCAGCTCTGTCTCTCGGTGGAATTTCATCCGTATCGAAGCGTGACGAAAGGCTCAATGGGACGTGAAAAAAGTGAAATCACGGAGACATATATGGGACGATATTCGCCCTGAGAGATACTTTCGATTCTATTATGCCTGGGCGTTCCTATACATGAACCGTACTCACCATCGACGTGAAATAGAACTTCTCGAATTCCCTTTCGTGTAGCCGGGCTGCGGACAGATTCGTCGCCGAGTGTTGCCCGTGCTTGGATAGGATGTCCTCGCCCTTCTTGCACAACCAGGACAACACCTGTCACAGAGATAAGTGTAATTATTAACGAGGAAATGGGCGTGGGCAATGTTTTATTCTACTCGTTCGCGTGGTGCATAGGGTACGTTAACTGTGAAGAGTAAAATGTAATTTCCCTTTGGTTTTGTTAAGAATATCATGTTCGTAATTTTAGCTTAGATAGACTAAAAAGTTTCTGATAATACTTATTAATTAATTACACGAAAAAGCGAGACCTTCGCAATCTTACAATATCCTTTAACCTGTAGAGGACAGGAAGCCTATTTTGAGGCTCCAGAGATACCCCTTATTTTTCGTAGTATAATACGGTAACAATTATATAAAAGTTCTAACTCGAAAAGATAAAAAATCATGTAAAATCCTACTCGTCCTCTAAAGGTTAAATTCCTGAATAATTTTGAAGTAACTTTCAAATGATCCCTAAACGACTCTCAAGTAACATTTCTAGAAGTCTATAAAATAACCTTGAACCTATTTTTTAAAAGTTGGCAGTGATTATACAAAAAATCGGTGACCTTCGTACGACCTTCAACTGCTATTGAAATAATACCTAACTTTACTATATTTATAAAAATACTATTCATTTAATATTAAGTTCAGATTGAAACAGACTTCGAGTGACCTTCAAGTGATCTTCGTCATCCTTTATTCAACCTGAAGCAGTAACAAGCCAGAAAATCCACGTTACTACCACACTAGCATGTTTGCGCGAACAGTATCGGTTAATTATCACACTGTGAAGCAGATGTGGGAACGCAGCGGGTAGTTACGTGATTTACACAGTCTCGAAAAAAGGTTCTGCAAACATCGACTTCAAATCTCATTACTCTATTTAGTCCGTGGTACACTTAACAAGGTAGAGCTACATGTCTGGCGGCCATCATCGTTTCAGTCTCGCAGCAGGCAACGGTTGCCACTTTTCCCATACAGAGTTGCAAAATGCGACGTGTCAGGACAGTAACTAATTAGCGTTCGGTCCGATTCGTTAAACAATTAAGAACGACTGCAGCTGCTCCACGCTCGAATGTCCGAGGCACGGTTATTACGAACGACGTCGTAGATCGCATGCAAAACGCTCAAATGATATTTCAGGCTTCCATTTTACGCTCCGTGGATTCCCACAATAAATGTCACTTTCGTGCTATGAAACAGTAATTTATTAATGAAAGGACCGAGCGAAAGAGCCTTTCTCATTTAATTATGTTGCGTTTATTAGAATATACGACACGTTTTCTTAACGATATTCCCGCAGCGAGTTGCAACGCTTCTGAAAAAGTTAATGACGATTACAGTAAGTTCGATGCGATCGTTTGGAAACGTTCACTGGTGAATAAATTCTGGAATCCTTCGCGTTACTGACCTATACAGCAGTGTCTATTAAAATTCCTACGAGATTGAGGTCCTCATTTTGTAAGCAGGAAGAGAGTACGAACCTTCTTTTCTGATAATTTTTGGATTTTCAACCTTACGTCTTTCGTCCACATACTGGCAAACTTTTCATGGATCACTGATCTAATGCTGCAAGTATTACAAACTTGCAAAATATGACTCTATTAGAAAGAGTACAATATTGATATTTAATAATTTTTACTTGCACCAAGCCTGTTCAACATGTTCTTTTCTCCAGAAACAAAGAGTTTCAAAAACTTGCTCCACTCTATCACTATTGTGTTTCTCAACATCGTCTCGTGGTGATATGTGTATCTATGGAAACGGGGTATGGGAAGTAATACACATCACTACGTGATCTAATGCACTATGCATGGAAAATACAGTTCGAAGAGGGGTTCAAAAGCTTCATCCATGAACACCGCTGCCATAAAGGAACACAAACCCCATCGAAACATCCTAGACATATTAAGTATTCATAATAGAGTATCCTGTTTCGCGACGTCGAAAAGGTTGTTCACAGCGTGATTTTCCAGTCAAGAAAATTAGGTCTCCCGTGATTACCTCACCTGTCGTGTTACCCCCGTTGGCAGCTCCCTTGTGTCGAGGGGATTCGCAACGGCGGTCTTTTAGCCGATAATTAGATCGGCTTGTACGGGCGTGTCACGCGTGATTAATGATTCGTCGTTGCGCCCGGACGTGGCGGCGAGCGAAATGTACGCGAGAATAATTAACGGGTGGTGAACGAAAGGGGAAGGGGAGCGAGTCAACCGTGTTGCGTCGAATGTTCGTCGTCGACGTTACTCGATCGGATAGGAAAGCGAATCGAGACAAGGGTCTGTTACGTTGAAGGGGCCATGTAACGACTCCAATTATGAGCAACGTTGCTGTTTTTCGGGTCACTGGGCCGAGTTAGGTGGACGATCATCGAATACCGGCAGCCAGGCGAACGCTGTCGTGGTCAGATCCAGAGCTACCCTTCAGGTTTTCAAAATCTATGCTGATGGTTGCTTGGTCAATTAGTAGAAATATGTAGAGTGATTTTGTTCAAGAATAATTGAATAGAGCAATTGAGAATGTATTCTCTTAACCCTTACAGCCACTTCAGATGATAGGGTTTTTTGACCGATTCGGTAATTTTTTCGAATATACAAGACAGGTATACTGTAGATACCATAGTTTACTGTTAATTCAATTCTAGTCAAAATATGCTACAGACCCTTATTCGAGGTTTCCATTCAATTTTTTTGAGATATGTCACTACACAGGGTGTTCCGAAATAGCTTCGACTCCCGGAACTGAGGGGTTCCTGTGACGATTTGAAACAACTTTTTTCTTAGCGAAAATATTCTACGAGGCTTTGTTAACAAGATATTAACGAAAAACCCGGTACCAATCAGAGCGCCAGTCTGCCGGCCGAGCTTCCGCGGTAGCGTTCAGAACGCGCTCCGATTGGTACCGGGTTTTTGGTTAATATCTCGTCAACAAAGCCTCGGATAACATTTTCGCAAAGGAAAAAGTTGTTTCAAATCGTCCCAGCAACCTCTCAGTTCCGGGAATCGAAGCTATTTTGGGGCACCCTGTACACCATAATTACATAATCAAAGTCTCCCCTGATTCTTCTCGTTGCACCTGTCGGTTCTGACCCAATGCACTAGTCACGCAACTACGAAAGAGTCTCAAGAGGGAGGAGGATGCCATTAAAGGATCCACACCGAAGCTCTTCGATCATAAGTGCTCGGTGCGCGGGTTATGCGGGTCACTGGGTCGCGGTTAAGCGAACGACTATCGAGTACCATCGGTGGCCGTCTGCACGCACAGGTGCGAACGACTATGTATACATATACCATTTCCAAGAACGTGTGCGAAACGATCGCCGAGTGCCACGACCCCGCGGCGTCGCGTACCCTCCGCGCGCGTTTTATCTCGCCTTCGCGCGTGCATGTTAAACCGTGTAAACACGCGAGAGTGTGCACACGCCTAACGACCGATAGATAGGTATTTAGGTTCGCCCGCGGCGCGCGAGCCCGCTTCCGCCTGCGGTGCATCTTCTCACGAGTGGACGACGGCGGCGAAGAGCGCGCCGATCTTATCGCTCGCGGCCAGACCGTCCCGATAGGGTACACCGTGGCCGCGGTGAAGTCGCCGTTTCGAATCGGTACCGGACACTTGGGTCGTGGAACAGAGAGGATTGTTACGTCTCGCGCGCGCCGTGAAATCGACTTCCAGCCCCGGACACGCTGGCAATGACCCGATCCCTCGACCCGCGTGGGTGTTATTTGAGGAGTTTCGCCGAAGATACTCGATACGCTAGATTTATCTTAGATATGGGATATGTTGTTGTTTTTTTTTTTCGAGGAAATTCTCTTCTTTACTGCTTATCTAGATAATGATTATGGTGTTTCTTCTTTGGAACCGCACCGCTCGGTACTGGGGACGTGATTATAAAGGAGTGGACACGATTCTATTATTGTCTACTGGGTTTGGTTCTGTATTATTTTTCTTTTATCATTGTGAATAGGATTCTAATAGCTTTTAGAGCTATAAACTATACCTAAGTATTAGGACACTCGGTCATGATAAAAATGTATATAATTTGGACCACTTTTATTGATTCACATTAGCGTACGTGATGTCCATCGAGCTTTAACATACCCCAAAAGTATTTACGTCAGCCTTTAGACAATTTTTCGTAACGCCTTGTTTCCACTTATCTCATAGTCGATAAGAGTCCTAATAATTATGAACGGTAATGTACGTACTTATTACAACATTAATGTAACTTTAACCTACTCTATCTCTTACCCGAATATAGGTCCTATGAAGAGCAATGGACACGGTTCTGTTATATATAAATATATACGTTATATATACTGCAGCGTTAATCCGTACCGTAGTCTACATTGTTACTCATCTAAAATTTCAGTCTTCTTTTCTATCTTTTAAAAATCCATTCCACTATTATGATCTACTAATGCATTATAATTATTAATGAAGCATATAAAATATCGTTAAAAGGGCACACCTTCGTTTTCTTTCCTCGATCTACAGTACGACTTCCAAAAGCGGTCTGATATATTTTACGACCAAGATTAGACTCGCGAAGAGCAGAACGACGACTTTTATGGTGAGTATTCGGGGCCCTTATCAAGGAGGGAGGGGAGAGGGGCTTATTCTCTCAAATAAATACCGACGACAATCCCTTTTTCCCCGTGCCGATGAAGACCTTCTTCTTCTCCGTAAACGATGCACCTTCCCCGAAACATGGGTTTTACGACGCCGCCTCGTTTGGCTTTTGGGACCAAGCCTCATTTTATCGTTCCACATTCGCGCTGCGCGGACGAGATGGAAAGGACGTCGAACCAGGAACATGATCGTTTACCTCACAAGACCTGTCGAGACCCAAATTTTTTTCCGCGGAACGCAGGATGCAGGGATCACCTAGCCTCATCTCCCTTTCATACTTTCTTTGTTCGTGATAAAGTGTCCTAGAGATCGATTCGTAGGATGATCTATTCGGAACAGAACTATACGACTACACAGTTCTGTAAAAGCCGCGCACTTTATGGAAAAAAGAAACACCTACGACGCTTGAAACGATGGGTCACTAA